TCATTTGGGGCAAATTGTGTGAATGGCGGGTCGAACCGGTAGCGCTGGACACATGCTGTCCTAGTCTGTCATACAGGCCCAGAAACAAATATGTTCAAGAGAGCCCATGCAAGTCTAGATTATGGGGCAAGTCTAGATTTCCACAGTTTCAACTGTCGTTTCTGTAAAATCCGTTCATTTCAGAGACTAGATGTTAGTCTAATGCTTTCCCTTTGCCCTGTGAGGATGTAATCACTGATTTTCAGTGATCAGTTCCTATCAGTTCCACAGCTATTTTTCAGTTTACACCAAGCGGACATTGGTTCTGAAGGTATACTAGGTATTTTTGGCACTGACTTTCTATATTTAACTATGAAAGCAACAGAACAGATACACATAAAAATGCTTTTCAAAGCATTTTCTACTCTTTTAAAGTTAATCTTTATGGTAATCGTGTCTGTATGTTTTAGTGAAATAGCCCCGAGTGCATGGTATCGTTAACTATTCGGATGTTCTTCTTTAGCAAGTACGGGAAAGGTCCGATATAAGTATTTTTTTTTCAAAAGACGTCCTGTCAGTCAGGGATAAAGCACGATGGGTTAGTTTGGTCATAATTATCTGTTAATCTATTTTAGCCAATGTGTAAGATATTGGTGGGGATTAATCCACGTGCATTCAAATGGACTGACTGACTGACTGAGATTGGTTTTACGCCGCTTTTAGCAATATTCCAGCAACATCACGGCGGGGGACACCAGAAATGGGCTTCACACATTGTACCCATGTGGGGATTCGGCGTGACGAGCCAACGCTTTAACTACTAGGCTACCCCACCGCCCCAAATGGACATCCACATGCTTTATATGAAAAACCTTCAAGTACAAAATGAGGAACCAGACGCTTGTGTGAGAGTTCTTTTGTTCCAATCCTGATTTTTGTTAATATGCCTCAACTTCGTGGTATAATGGAGCTACACATTATTTTACATTATTATTTAAGGAAAGGTGTTTTGAAATTAGTAGAGTCAAACGATTTTGCAATTTTGTGTTCTTAAGTCATATCAACTAAGCCTAGTTAAATTCATTACTCGTGCTTTCATAAGGATCGTGTTAGACGTTGGAGAAAACTCGCTGTCCATCAAATGGTTAACAAACAAAATCACGTTAAACAAAATATAAAATAATGATTTAGAGTTGTTACTATCAATAGCTGAATGTCACCTTTGCATTCGTTTGCCTACATTCTTTAAGTACCCTTTACAAATTTTATTCCGGATCCATCAAGATAGGACTTTGCCTCTACAGAGCCCTAGAAGAATGTTAATGCCGCAAAAAGTCTTATCAAACTATTTACCTCTGATAAGGGCTTAAAAAGATCATACAGTTAAATCAAACCAGATACAGGTCAAACATTTTCAACGTTTTCTGTGTCAATGTTGCCAAGGACATAAGCAATGCTACCTCATCTTCAAATGTACAGTCGTATCCTAGCAATTCATGACAAGTAGGTCGAAACATTAGTCTTTTTGTACCTTTCTTTAATTTCTGTCCTATCACTCATGACAAATATACATCATCATTTATAAAGGCCACGGGACAATATTCCCACTCCATTGTCAAAAACCTGCAGTTCTCTTATCAGTCAACCCTTCTGTAACGCAGTCAATCACTCTCTTAACACGTCGTCATTTCCATATAGATACAAGTATGCTCAAGTCATCCTCCTTTTGTTAAAGAAATAACAAAACACATATACAAAATGATGATATGTTAGCGTCGTACCTCTTTCATTTCATTAAATCGACATAAAACCACAGCTTCAGTACCATTATAATGGTAATGTATATTCTAAGTAGCCTTCTAGCCAGGGTTAGCATGGACGAACTGGCTATGATTAGTAGAGGATTGGCGGAAAACACTTGACACTCATCAGTATGTCATACTTATAGACCTGTCAAAGAGTTTTCACAGCCTTTGTCATACCCTGGTTTTGCTTAAATTGAAGACATACGGGCTTGCCAATTACGTAGAGGCTCCAGTACAGATACCCCAGTAACAAAAACTGAACCGATTGGCGCATAATCAAAGGAGTACCGCAAGGCTCTATTTTAGGCCATGTTGTATTCAGAATCTTTTAAAATGATATGCTACCACTTGGTGAATTTTTCAGTGTACAATTACGATAATGATAACACACTGTGTTACTCTCACGGATAGAGAGCCAAAGTCATCTTTGACCTCCAACATTTAGATTGTTTGAAGGCAAACAAATAAAGTATTAAATTTGGCAAATTTAGGCAATATACCTGGGGTGAAAGGTCGCCCTGTTCTTAAAATCGTTACTTTTGGTTTCTTGGTGTGAATTTCGACCTCATAACGTATAATAGCCACATCTCTGAACTATGCAGAAAACCTCAAAATAACTAGCAAGTATCTACTACACCTTCAGTTCATCAAATGTTAATCGCTTTCCCCTGGCTATGTGCAACATAGCCAGCGCAACAAACTGGAAACATGAATCAGGATTGAGACGTTGAATTTGTTATCGATTATTATAACAGCAGTTTGTATATTATGGGTGTCTACCCCTGAAGATCCGGGTTAGAATTTGTCTTTAGTAACCCATACTTGTCGTAAGAAGTGACTAACGGGATCGGATAGTCAGACTTACTGACGTGGCTGACACGTGTCATCGTATCCCAGTTGCGTAGTTCGATGTTCATTTTGTTGATCACTGGACTGTCTGGTTTAGACGCGATTATTTACAGACCTCCGCCATACAGCTAAAATATTTCTGAGTGCGGCGTTAAACAACAAACAAAACAACGACTGTCCCCTTTCTTCTTCATATAAGTCGCACAAAGTTCATGGCGTATTCAAAATTATGATGAAGATGTATCTTAGCTATGGTCAAATCATAACAACCTTAAAACAAAAGACATCTTCTCTCATCTGTTACAGGGAGTAACAGCAAAGATCCCCTTGGTTAAATCATAAAATTCCAGTCAAAGGCATTTGCATATGAGGCTTTTTGTATTTGAAATACATTTACATACTAACATTTGTATAGCGCCGATATCCAGCTCAGCTGCTCAAAGGCGCTTTGTTTTTTCCCTCGATCTCTGGATGTCAATCTCAACGGCACGTCGTATTATCAATCTCAAGTCCCTGGGGAACATACAGATAGACTGGCGAACGTACCCCTTTAATCCATTCGTATCGATTACTGCAGCTGGGTCATGATCATTTTGAGCAATGACCTTTACATGATTTTTACACACATCCAAACTAGCATTTGCTTTTTTAATGAAAATTTGGAAGTCGATGGTGCAACCAGTAGAGCAAAAAAATTGAATTTAGTGAGCCATTCCAGTAATTTTGATCATTTTTTTTATTTTATGCTTTTCTTAATCTGTTTTGGTAGATATTCCACACGGATTGGCGTCTGCAGTGGTATGTGATACTTCCTACAATCGACAAAAGTTTTTTTTCGAGAAAAGGGAGTTCGGAAGTCTAATGGATTTACTTCCTGTTAACCCCCAAGCCTTGAGGTGGCAAAAACATCGTTCCGATATAGAACAAACTTAATGAATAACAACTTATATTATTTTGTGAGTGCGACGTTTCGATACAGACTCTTGTACCGTTGTCAAGCAGTTAACCATTCCTGCTTGACAACGGTACAAGAATCTGTATCGAAATGTCGCACTAACAAAATAAAAGAATTTGTTATCCATAAAGTTTGTTCTATATTGTACTTCCTAACTTCTAAAATGCCACTCATATAAGTTAACCATCGCTCCGGTCAGAAATGTATGATTGTGTGCGATGTTCTTCGTTATAACTAATGTCAATAGAAAATATTTGCCTTATTCCATCATATTAACATCACGGTCATTCTGGTGACACGGGATAGAATTGAACCTCGTAATAACAATCGTTATTGCAATCCCAACTGAACTTCTACGAATGTTTGTCAAAAGTAAAATTTTAACAACAAAATGTTCTATTTTATTTTTATTTTTTCCCAGAGATACAGTTACATGGTTCTTTCCTCCAACGTTGTTTATTTCTTTTCTTCATCCTCTGAAAAATAGAATTATACAATATTATATAAAATATAAAATAAATAATGGTCACTCCGTATATATTACTGTTGAGAGGCACTTTGTTCCAGGACAGAACAATGAGCAGACCCCCGGGAACAAAGACATGGGAAAATCCACGTCAGGAGTTTGTTACCTACTTTCAGGTTAGATGTTTAAAGATATCACTTAAATTATGTATCTGTGTATTAGCATGTGGGGACCGTCAAATGTTGATGTTCCACTCATTTATGTATTTCAGAAACGAGTGATTATGCCGGAATTATCTAATGTTTCCTCGCATGGGAAACCTTCTAACCACAGCTGTGAGACACGGACCAGAGTGAGTGAGTGAGTTTAGTTTTACGCCGCACTCCAGCTATATGGCTATATATTCCAGCTATATGGCGGCGGTCTGTAAATAATCCGGTCTGGACCAGACAATCCAGTGATCATCAGCATGAGCATCGATCTGCGCAATTGGGAACCGATGACATGTGTCAACCAAGTCAGCGAGCCTGACCACCCGATCCCGTTAGTCGCCTTTTACGACAAGCATAGTCGCCTTTTATGACAAGAATGGGTTGCTGAAGACCTATTCTACCCCGGATCTTCACGGGTCACACAGACCAGAAAGGGACAGCTGATTTATCAGACCCACATTGCAGTATGTTGTGGCGGGATAATACAGTGGGTAGCGTTATGAGTTGCCATGACAAGTCAAATCGATTTCATCAAACGCCGTATGACATGTCATATCGTGTCCACATTTCAAACATGATAGGCCTACTCATCAAGAAATATTAAATCAGCCGGTTTTGCTAGCTACGGTAACGAAGGATAGCCATATTAAATGTGTTGTTTCAAATCGTGATAGAAATTTCATTCACGACAAACGCAGAGTCGAAAATTTAAACTAACGACCAAAAGTACCCACCGTAGTAGGGAAGAATGGGGAGTCCGTCGCCGAAGGGCACGTAAGCGCCGTGCAGGTAGCAGTACCATTTGAGCCAGACAGACAGTTCTCGGTAGAAAATACGGAGGTAGAAATTCTGACGAGTCTCTTCCGGGTTGGCCTCAGTCAGTAGCGGGCAGCTGCAGTCTTCGTACGTCTTGATGGAGATCAGAATCTCCTCACAACAATCCGTAAGACACTCTGAAATCATACACAGGCAGACACTACTGTAACGGTTAAAGGGGGACTATGATGTGATATCCGGATACCCGTATCAAATACATCACTACTTCGAAAAACTATTATTGTTTGTTTCATTTTCAGCAGCCATCAAACACTGATGCCGACTTCCTTCGCCCAAGCACGTTTTAAGTTCAGAACTACTCCAATGCATTATTCAGATTATCGCGGCATTACGTTGAAAACAAATCAACTGTGTTGTTCCAACATTGATCACAGGATCCAATAAGATCGCGATCTCACATCGACTAGGAATAATTCGAGACATACGGATAATTCGAGACATACGGATAACTCGAGACATACGAGTTTACAAGGTCTGATTGTATGCTCAGTAAGTTTTACAATAGTTCGACTTTATGAAATGATAATGTGTTTTGTCAGCTTCGTCTAAGCTGTCTTAACAATATTCCAGTTACGTATGGGCGTGTCAATATAACGGAGGAGTGCCCAGAGTGATCTATGTCCCAACATTTTATCAGGTTGGTGAAGCCCACATGCACGGGTATGGTGCAGACAAACCTAGAAACATAATCGGGATTCGAACCCATAGTCATAGGTTTCAGGCGTGCTGGACGCTTGTCCACCCACGTCCGCGATAATAGAAAAATGTGGAAACCGGAGATGAACATGGACATCATATATTGGGTGGAGAGGTTGTGACTCGAAGACTTAGCAGTATCAGCTGTTCGCCATGAATTTTCACTGTAACCAAGGTTACAAAATGTCGAAATAGTGACGTTGCTTGGCTTCAGAAATACAAAGCGCGAAAAGCGTCCTTTAAATCCTACGGGAATTGAAGAAGTTTAGAAATAAACAAAGGTTTCATAAAAACGTTTTTGTAACAACACTATCTGTAGCAGTAAGTGGTTAAAAATGATTTAATGAGAGCATGCATTTGATCTATGCAGGATTTCTGAGAAAATAGTACACAAATATGGCCAAAGGGCAAAGTCATTCCCAGTCCTCTGAACGACCAGGTCAGTTTATCTGAATAAAACGAGGATTCCAACTCAGAAATCAACGAAATACATATATCCCAGGTATAGACATGTCCAAATCTCCCGTTCATCACTCAGGGCAGAGACTGAAGATAACAGCTGAATCCTAACAGCAATACTGACGTTTGTGCCCACTATCCAAATCATTATGAAGCACTATGCATATTCTATGCATTAATTTTGAAGTCGCAGTTACCCTTGTATTTCTCATTGTAACCGAACTGCTATTTGGGAGTACTGGTCATCACATAATTAGCCATGTTCTTCATCTTACCTTCACATTCTACAATAGGGTCAGTGAGACATTCGTTCGTGGCAGCGTTGACCATGTAGACGTTGATGGTGATGAAGACGACGAGGAAGAAGAGTGTGACTTTCATGACTGTAACGCTTGGAGACCTCACTCGATGGCGATACTTGCATGAACTTGCCACCTCGGTACTTATAGGATATTGTAGAGCCACCAACAGCTGCTATTGCAGTTGGGGGTCAAGGATTCTCCAAGCAGCTGTCAACTATATCACGTACCGAGTATGTACTCTTATTAAGTCTGAAAATTGTTAATTATAGTCCAGATTGAAATATAATAAGATAATGCCATATGTCATATTTCAAATGATTGCTATTTCTTGCCATTGCAAGTTAAATGCATAAGACTAACCTTACAGAAACGTGGATTTTCTTCTAATCATGAACGCAAAATTAGTTAATTCTCTACAAAAACACTTTATGCTTCGTTAACAACTATATCGACATATTTTCCACAGCTTATACATGTACTCATGCCAATAATGATTGTCACCCCTTCAATTTGTTTTTATTGGAGAGGGTGTGGGGTGTGGGGGTTGGGGTGGGAGGGGTGACAACCATTATTGGCATGAGTATATATTGGCGTATTCAATGTATACTAAGTTTTATAAATTATTTCTTTTTAAAAGATATGAAAACTCCAAGTCAAGTTTACCACCTCAGTAACATAGATACTTGCTGTACGCTATTTGGCTGTGAGCTCGGGGTCATGTGTTATTTGTCAACATATATATTCGTTGTACGTTGTTACACTGATAGCAATGTCATCTGTAAATTGCCATTAGCATAGATAACTGTTGTACCCCACATGCAACAAACTCAAATACACGTTACACGATGTGGTCCAGTCTGCAGACAGACTGCAGTTAGTGTAAAGAGCGAAACAACTGCGAAGATTACATGAAAGAACCACTGAAGGTGTTTTTTTTAAATGGTAAGCATGTCATGCCCTACTGCTCAAACAATGCCCCACTTGCTTTGTTTGTTTCCATGTACCTATCACATTTGAATAATTGTTTCTATAGTTGATAATAAAGTAGCCCCGAGTACATGTTACGCAGATGACATTTGGGTGTTTGGCCTTAAGGAAGTACAGAAACAGTCCAATGTACCGCTTTGCAGTGGTTTGTTAATACCATCATAGATTAGGCTTGCCTGGTGACACGAACTCTCAACATTTCACAGTGAGTAATTGTTCACAATTTATGGCTATGGGGTGGGCAGTTGGGGTCATGATGATATAAAGGGGGCACCCATTTTGTTCTAGGGATGTAGGGTGGTCAACAATTTTGTACATATTCATATCTAAATATTATGCTTATGTGTAGTGTAAATGTTTAAAGTTGTCAAACTCGCGTGTTCACACGTCAACCACATGTTGTCAAAATGTCGTGTCATTTGAGAGCCATGTCGTTGACGGCGATTGATTGTTTCTGAACAACACGAGTTTGAGTTCACACGTCAAACTCGAATTTGACAAAAAGTTTGATGGAAAAGGTGGTGAGAACAGAGACAGATCCTATTTCTCGACAACAGTTTGACAACTTTGAAATTGGTGTTGGTAGCGAGTTGTTGGAATGTTGGAACGCTCTAAAACTCGTGTTTGACAACACGTGTTTTCAAACTTTAGTTTGCCGTGTGAAGGCCGCTTTAGCCATAAATTATGAACGGTCCCTCAGGTAACACTCATGCTATCGACAGACAATTAACGTTCATGACAGTAGTTGACTGTACGTCGATCTACTGCACCAACGGCAACAACCGGCGCACAAGACTTTTTCAACAGAACGACCGTGGTCAAAATGCCTCCCAATATGAAGACGAACTGCACAGAGATACAGATGGACGACAGATGGAACCTGCATGTCCGAGGCCCACGTGTTCTCCCACGACTGACTGACCATCACATTACGTCATGACGTGCCCAGAACCATTTGGTCAAACGATTTGTTTTCTGACGAATCAAGGTTTACTTTGGACGTCCAGGCTATACAGATTTGTTACTGGACACTTCCACCGTGACAACATCCTGAAGGCATACGCCAACATGGGCGTCGTTTTGTACTTCAGGATAACAACACAGGAACACACAGGGCCCGTATTGTTAGCGAGTACATCCAGCAAGATGTTTCTCTCCGATCCCCCCAACCCCCGTCCTCTCTCTGTGTCTCTCTCTGTGTCTCTCTCTGTGTCTCTCTCTCTCTCTCTCTCTCTCTCTCTCTCTCTCTCTCTCTCTCTCTCTCTCTCTCTCTCTCTCTCTCTCTCTCTCTCTCTCTCTCTCTCTCTCTCTCTCTCTCTCTCTCTCTCTCTCTCTCTCTCTCGTACTCACGACACAGGTATTAATCACGGAGAAGAGAATCAATGAACTTGTTATGGTAATGACTTGTTAATGTTTGGAAACAAAGAACTACCAAAGAATTATCAATTGAATCTGTTTGCATTGACAATAAAAACATGCTTGGGATTATAGTTCTTTGTCGCTTCATATTTAGGGACCGTTCATAATTTATGGCCCGTGTGTGTGTGTGTGTGTGTGTGTGTGTGTGTGTGTGTGTGTGTGTGTGTGTGTGTGTGTGTGTGAGAGAGATGATTCTTATGGAGAAGCATGTACAATGTGAATGACCCCCCCTAAAATTTATGTACAAAATCATTGCCCCCCCTTCCAATATTTTTTAAGCATAATTTTTAAATATTTTTATGTACAAAATTGCTGAACCTCACCAGAACAAAATGGGTGGCCCCCCCTTAAAACCATCATCACCCCCCTAGCCATAAATTATGAACGGTCCCTTAGCATGATATCATGCTATATCTGGGATTACACTTATTAAAGTACAGATCCTAGTATCTTTGTGGGTTGAGTCCGGGATTCGAACCCACACTCTCAGACCCACACCCACACCCACATCCACACCCACACCCACACCCACACCCACACCCACACCCACACCCAGACCCAGACCCAGACTCCTTATCGACTGCACACCAAGTATCCGAGGTTTCATATCGATTCCCCACTCAGACATGATATACTCCGAGTTCTTGTTTTCTTGTTCTCAGGAAGGGTAACAACAAATACCTGATCCACAGGTTGATGTCTTTTGGTATGACGCAGCCTGGAATCGAACCGCAGGGTAGACGCTGTATCCACTAGTGAGTGAGTTTAGTTTTACGCCGCGCTCATTATACCAGCTATATGGCGACGCTCGATTCGAGTCTGGGCCAGACAATCCAGTGATCAACATCACGAGCATCGATCTACGTCATTGGGATACGATGACATATTTTAAACGCGAAGACATGAGTCAACAAAGTCAGCGTGTCTGACTACCCGATCAAGTAGATCATGAACGATTTAAATTTAGCTATTCCATTCGTGTAATGAATTTGTTTTAACGTATTGTGAAATATGTTTCGGTAGATATTCGACACTGATTATTCCGTGGAGTTGCGGAATGAACAATATATGACACTTGTATGAGTGATAACCATGATTATTCACTGACGTTGACATTATGAACAATATATGACACTTGTATGAGTGATAACCATGATTATTCACTGACGTTGACGTTGTGAACAATATATGACACTTGTATGTGTGATAACGCTGTTTGTTCACTGACGTTGGCGTTGTGAACAATATATGACACTTGTATGAGTGATAACCATGATTATTCACTGACGCTGACGTTGTGAACAATTTATGACACTTGTATGTGTGATAACGCTGTTTGTTCACTGACGTTGGCGTTATGAACAATATATGACTTGTATGTGTGATAACGCTGACTATTCCCCGACGTGGACGTAATGAACAATATATGACACTTGTATGTGTGATAACGCTGATTATTCCCTGGCGTTGACGTTATGAACAATATATGACACTTGTATGTGTGATAACTATGATTTTTCACTGACGTTGACGTTGTGAACAATATATGGGACGTGTATGGGTGATAACGTTGATTATTCCCTGACGTTGACGTTGTGAACAATATATGACACTTGTATGTGTGATAACGCTGATTATTCCCTGACGTTGACGTTATGAACAATATATGACACTTGTATGTGTGAAAACCATGATTATTCACTGACGTTGACGTTGTGAACAATATATGGGACGTGCATGAGTGATAACGTTGATTATTCCCTGACGTTGACGTTATGAACAATATATGACACTTGTATGTGTGATATCCATGATTATTCACTGACGTTGACGTTGTGAACAATATATGAGACGTGTATGAGTGATAACGTTGATTATTCACTGACGTTGACGTTGTGAACAATATATGACACGTGTATATGTGATAACCATGATTATTCACTGACGTTGACGTTTTGAACAATATGCGACACGTGTATGAGTGATAACGTTGATTATGCCCTGATGTTGGCGTTGTGAACAGTATATGACACGTGTATGTGTGATGACGCTGATCGTTGACGTTATGAACAATATGTTAGACGCGTATGTGTAATAACGCTGGTTATTTCCTGGCGCTGATGCTGATCTCTTTATTTTTGTCAATTAGGTATGCGACTATCGTGAACCACAAAAGTCAATATGAACGTCGCATTTTTACACTCAATATAAGTTCAATTCAGTGCATCTGGAACAAACTGGCTAATCACGTGACCATCTACGAATGCATGGGGGAAGTGTGGACATGTTTCAACCAGTAATGATAGCCGACTGAAACCACTGCAAACCACGAAACATGACGCTAACGGAATGAGTTGCACTGTAGGATATCACACTATTACAGGATAATGTACGACTGTAGGATTCTGACAACTGACCTGAATCGTGAAGGCGGTTACCAAGAGTACTTACTCTTACGAGAGGTTTGACGGTAAAGACGTAATGACGTCAATTCAGTGTGACGTCAAATAAAAGTGTACTTAAAGCTTGGTAAAGTACTGTCGACGCCTTTGATCTTTCAGCGAAGAATCTTAGAAAAGTAAATATAACAAAAACTGATTCTGCTTAAACATATTTCTTTGTTTATTGCATAAATGCATTTACGTGGTTATGTCCGACGTTGTTTATTCTTCA